AGCAAAACTCCTTGGATCAAGAGTATTCTTGGTTGATGCTCAACATGTAATTACCAAGTGGGACACATCTCCTTGGGAGTACTATGGACCCTAAAACAGACAAACACACATGAATCTCTGGTTATGGGTAGCTTTCATAGGCATTCTTTCATGGATATCTGACACAAGTTATTTTGATCTGATCTTATTCTGATGTACATGTTTGACCTATCCTGATGAGACTTGTTGCACAGAAGTTCTTCACGTTCTTTCTCTTATTTTTCAGCCTTTATCATATGTCCTATTTTTTCTAATTCCTTTCCTTTCTCGATCATTTATATGATTCAAAAAAGAGACTTATTCAGAAAAGAGAAGTACATGAGGATTGACAAATTGGTGAATCCTTCAAAAAATTAAAAAAAAAAAAGAGAAAAAGAATGAAAACAAAATAATTAGCTTAAATCTTAATGATGCTCATTGCTTAAATGAGATTGCTCTTAGGAATAGTTCCTAAGAGCTTGGCACAAAATTTTAGGGCGATTGCAAAGGGAGAAAGAGGAAGGACCAAAGAAAACTCCAAGTGATAGCGCCATCAAGGTATAACTTCCACATTCAAAACCTATTTATAAGATTTGAGGTTGGAATTCAAAGCACCACTGTATATTGGCACATCAAAAAGCTGCTAAGGGTCATGATACCTAAAAACTTACTATACAGTAAGTAGGTCAATCATGCAAGTATACATGTCAAATAATGTACGGTATAAGAGTTCCTGTATCGATGCCACAATGATAGTGTCAAAATATTTCTAAAATATAAAGTTCTAGTTTAATGAATCACTAAATCTATGTTAATGTGGTCAAATTCAAGAGATGAATGTAACAATCATAAAATAACATAAAACATAAATGATAGAAAGAAGCATTGAATTTTTAGATATGAAAGATTCATACTACTATGACACAGGTCAGGTGGTTTCTTGAAGTTTTCCTATATATTTCACGATAATGTTGACAAACAGGGATATAGATGTTTTCCTTAAACCTATGCCTAGGTTAAAAGAAGAATAAAAAAACTATAAAGATAAGTTTTTCTTAACCCCATTGCATATACCAAGATTCTTCATATCCTATACCTTTGTTGCATAATCCTAACAGAATATGCCTATTTTAATAGGTTTTTGTGGTTAACATACTCATTCCACTATGCAACAGACATAAGTCATAATTCAAAAAAAATTTTAACATTCTTATCACATCTGGTAAAAAATTAATTACAGTCAGAAGGTTAAAATATCAACATCAAAAAATTATGCATCAAAAAGGCTTCAAGGGAAATAGAAAATCCATATAATGAAAATCATAAAAAAAAATCACAAGACTTACATCATAGGAATATGAAAGGGAGGTTAATTACTTTTTTTGAAATAAGAAAGCACCAATATTGGTTATTATGAGAATAAAAAGAAGAGCCTTGTAAGAGGTACAATAAACTCTCACTTAGCCAAGTAATACTTATAATAAACTATGATTCTATCCGTTCAGTACGAGTTACTTGATGATCTCTCTTACAAATGCACTCAACTTCTCCTCTCACAACTCATCTAAACCTCAACAAATAATAAGAAAAGAGGAAGAGAAAGAAAAACTACCATAGAATTTTTCTCTTTAAAAAAAGAAGAAGAGAACTCTAGGGCTTACATTCAAATCCTCAAATCTCTACTATAGAGCATCAACAAGTCTCTCCATATCTTTAAAAGTTGCACTAGCTTCCCATTTAAAGCTTTGGCCAAAATTAGCTTGAAAATACTTTCCAAAAGGAGATCTGGTCCTCCAACACTGTGGTCATGCTTGAAACTAGTATGATCAAGCCAGTTCTGGCGTGGTTGTACTTAGAGCTGGCATTACCATGGCCTTCAACACCATATCAGGCAGTTTGACTTTTTTTTTTGCATTCTTGACATCTTGTAAAATATTACAAAGAACATTCCATAAGCATAATATCATGATAAATGATGAATAAAATATGGCATTTAATGCAGGAAAAATATGCAAATTTACCTCATATCAAGTCACACCACACATCAAGTATGATATGATACAAATTTTTTTTTATTTCAAATATATAAAAGTAACACTAGATTAATCAGATATGAAATCTTTTATAAAAGTGTTCTTCATCTCTTTAGCCAAGACATCTATGCTGAAGCAGCCTCTTAAATACAAGTTTCACCTTAACTTAAATTGGTTTACTCGATCAACTCATCCTTAATTCAGTTCATGATAGCTGACTCTTGAGAGACCATTACCTCAGCTTGTAGATAGACCATCTTCAAACTCAACAGAGCATTTTCCCTTCCCATCCCTCGACACAGGCCACCAACTCAAACATAGTTCCTCTGTCATAATTGTCGAATGTCTATTGAAAGTATTTGACCACATCATCCATCCTACGTCCAAGGGACTCCGAAGACATCAGTCTTTCTTTACTTGTCTCATGAAAAGCACCCAACAGGTCAGCTGACTATTTCCATCATCACTAATCGATCGTTGCCTATTGACAATCGACTCAGGGTTTTCCTTCGTGAAATCCTCAACCGGAGCAACTTCAATACCTAGTGGAGCAAAAGTTGTCCGAGCACCTTCTTCACCTATTATAATCAGAGTGATACTTTCCACTAACAACTCTAGATGTGACTCAACCACCACCACTGTAGGAATCATCAACCATCTGGAAGTCCTCTCATCTCTGGGATCTGTAATACAAGCCAATAGAGCATGCTCCTTAGCCATTGAAACAACATGTCTATCATCTCGAGGGATCGTCTTCTATTGATGATCACCTAGATCCCTCCACGATGCCACTTGGTCGCTCAGATCAAGCACAAGGTCATCTCTTTTCCTTTTCACAGTTAATTTCTTCTATAACCTTCCACTCACAATATGAGTTGGAACGCTCATCTATCCAAGAACCATACAGAGTACATCTTTATCGAAGTGACTCTGAGCTTTAACACCAGAAACGGTATCGTTTGGAGTTTACAGAATGAGGAGAAAAAAAGAAAACCCCCATTGATCCTATATAAAGGAAATGCAAGCACGGAAATCCAAGAAGTAATTATTAATTTATTAAATGATTGAGATTACAAATGAAGTTTTCTATCATCATGTTCTTATTGCAGCACAAACTTTAAGGAGCAAGAAAATCGAAAAACTAATATGTATCTAGAAAAAATTAACATCACAAATCTCAAAGCGATCAAACGGTGATCTAGAAGGGAAAAGGAGAAATACAGTGATATGATAGTTTTACAGGGCTAGATGAGTCGATAGGCTGAAGATGAACAGGGTGATCGGAGGAAATCTGATCTGATTAAATTCTGCCTAGTTATCGAATAATCGTCCGAATAGAAGACAACAACCCAGATTGACTCAAAATCGATACCACTTGAAAGATGTTCGGATTCCTAGAGTCATATTTTCTATCAACACTTATGAAGAGTAAGTCGACCCAAGCCAGCTACGTCGCCCGATCCAAAGGTATACTAATCGAAAGACTTCAATTTATGTATAGTTGTCAACATTAGTTGATGTAAAAAGATTTGTATGTCAATTATAAGTATGAAAGGATACCAGAACTAGTTATAAATCGGAGAAAAACATCAATATTAGTTATAATTAAAACAATACATTAAAAAAAAGGTTTTGCAATACCTCTAATTAAATAAGGACATATAATGACTTGTAACACCACATTAAAATTGGGATAGACATACAACTTTATTAAGATTCTCCTTTAATTATAAATAGGAACCATGTTATAAATTTATGGATAGGCTTTTTCCCCTATAAGTGTTTGTATATTGTATTATACACAAATTTTTTTTCCTCTCTTCTTTCAATTCTATTGCCATTCTATCTCTCAGATGCGTATTCCAGAGAGCAACTCGAAATTCAACCGTCATTGCATTGTGCTGTCATTTGTGTCGGTACTTGAGAGTTGTAAATTTTTCTCCTCTCTCTATAAAAATGAAAAAATTATTCCATACGGACGGACACCTCATGCAAGATGCATGCGGTGTCCGATCCTAACCATAAATCAGGTGATTTACGGTAAATCAGGTGATTTACGGTCACGATGTATTTCGGTGGGCCCCACCTAAAATTGTTTAAAAAAAAACCGAAATATATCATGACCGTAAATCATCGTGATCTAAGGTCAGGTTCGGACACCGCATACGCAATAATTTCTCATAAAAAAGAGGCGTGAAAAAAACCTACATCAATAAAACATGGGTGGTTGCCTTGATGGGATGGTTCCCAACAGCGATTCCCGCCTCCGCATACATTTTTTTGTACCATAAAATAAATTTTGGACGTTTTCAGAAAATAAATTAAAATAAATTAGGTCCATTTAAAAATATTGTTTTTTTTGTGGTGGGCCATTGAGGTAATTTTCTACCGAGGGAACTAGCCTACCGCCACGCGGCAACTCGATTTTCCCGTGCGTCTTTTTTTATTAATTAATTTATTATTTTTTTACTTTTGACTGAAACGGTAAAATTATTCCTATATGAACCACCCTCGCCGTTCATGCAAGTCTCGCCAGTTTCCATAACCTTTCCCGTCTTTTAAAACCCTAAGCCATCCTCGTTTTGATTTTTGTCCGGCGCCTCTGCAGTCCCCTCCGGCGTATATTACTACTACTTTTTTCCGCCTTTTTTTCTCGTCTCCCTCTTTTGAACCTATTTGATCCCAGATCTATCGACGCCGGTAAATTCGTTTGCATCTGCGTCGATTATCTTCTATCTCTCTCTCTCTCTGATTCACTTTGATTTCTTTGTTTCTTTCTTCTTCTGAAGTGCCGGCGTGGGGATATCCGGTTTTTTTAAGAGAGATTTAAGTCTATTCTCTCCCGTTTCTTTCCTCTTCTGTTACTTTTGCGGGGGTAGCCGGGGCTCCGGCCTCGGCGGTTTACAAAGCCCCCTTCGCCCCCCACGTGATGTGTTAACTCTTTTTTTTTTTTTTTTTCATTTGCTAATTTCCTGAACGGGGAGGGATGCCGGTCATGGCTTGCGTAGATGCTGCAGTTAACCATCCTGGCTACGATTCCTGCGATAGCTACCCGGGCCACCGCCCTCGAACACCCTATCACCTGGTCTACCGACCTTTCCGCCGCCCTCTACAAGATCGATGGCTGGGGCGCCCCCTACTTCACTGTCAATACTGCAGGCAATATCTCCGTACGCCCCTTCGGCTCTGCAACCCTACCTCATCAGGAGATTGATTTGATGAAGGTTGTCAGAAAAGCATCGGATCCGAAAACTTTGGGCGGCCTCGGCCTTCAGCTTCCGCTCATTGTTCGACTCCCTGACGTCCTCAGGAACCGCCTGGAATCCCTGCACTCCGCCTTCCAGTTTGCCATTGAGTCCAACGGCTACGATTCCTGCTACCAGGGAGTCTACCCCGTCAAATGCAATCAGGATCGCTACATCGTTGAGGACGTTGTGGAATTTGGCTCTGCTTTTCGTTTTGGTCTCGAGGCCGGGTCCAAAGCCGAGCTTCTCCTTTCCATGAGCTGCCTCGTTAGAGGCAGCCCTGATGCTCTCCTCATTTGCAACGGCTACAAGGATGAAGAGTATGTATCCCTTGCTCTTATGGGAAGGAGCCTTGCTCTCAACACTGTGATTGTTCTTGAGCAGGAGGAGGAGCTTGACACAGTGGTGGAATCCAGCCGCAAGTTTGGCGTTCGACCTGTTATCGGTCTCAGGGCGAAGCTCAGAACTAAACATTCTGGACACTTCGGCTCAACTTCTGGCGAGAAAGGCAAATTTGGTCTGACGACCACTCAGATCCTCTCCGTCGCAAGAAAACTTCAGAAACTCGAGATGCTGGACTGTCTCCAGCTCTTACATTTCCACATTGGCTCCCAGATTCCATCTACTGCCCTGCTTGCTGACGGCGTTAGCGAGGCTGCACATATCTACTGCGAGCTGGCCAAGCTTGGTGCTGCGATGCATGTGATTGACATTGGAGGCGGCCTCGGAATCGACTACGATGGAAGTCATTCAAGCTTGTCGGACATGTCCGTGGGCTATGGATTGGACGAATACGCTTGTACAGTAGTTCGCGCTATCCAGTATGCTTGTGATCGCAAGCAAGTGCGCCATCCTGTTATCTGCAGCGAGAGTGGCCGTGCCCTCGTCTCCCACCACTCCGTCCTGATTTTCGAAGCGGTCTCCTCCAACGCCGTTGTTCCGGAAACCCTTGGACAAAGTCTTGCCTCCCTCCTCGACGCCCTGGAAGACGAAGCCCGCTCCGACCACCGCAATCTTGTGGCGTCTGCTGTGCGGGGGGAGTACGAAACCTGCATCTTTTACGCCGATCAGCTCAAACGACGGTGCGTGGAACAGTTCAAGGACGGAATGCTTGGTCTCGAACACCTCGCGGCAGTGGACGCACTCTGCGATCTTGTGGCCAGGGAGATTGGCGCCTCGGATCCTGTGCTTACGTATCACGTGAACCTGTCCATCTTTACCTCTATTCCAGATTTCTGGGCTATTGGTCAGCTCTTCCCAATTCTCCCAATCCACCGCCTTGACCAGCGACCAGTGGTCAACGGGGTGCTCTCTGATCTTACTTGCGACAGCGACGGGAAGGTGAACAGGTTCATCGGTGGAAGGGCGAGTCTCCCCTTGCACGAACCTTCAGGAGCCGATGGCGGGGGATACTACCTTGGTATGTTTCTCGGCGGGGCTTATCAGGAAGCCATGGGTGGACTGCACAACCTATTCGGCGGGCCGAGCGTGGTACGCGTGTCGCAGAGCGATGGGCCTCACTGCTTCGTCGTGACGCGGGCTTCGCCAGGCTCTTCATGCGCAGACGTCCTGCGAGCGGTGCAGCACGAGCCCGAGCTCTTGTTCCAGGCCCTCAGGCGCCGCGCTGAGGAGTACGCTTGCGGTGACGGAGAGGCTATCATGTGCAGCCTGGCGCGCGCTTTCCATTCCATGCCTTACCTTGTCTACGACGCCATGGCAACCGATCACGATGGCACCGCTTTGGCCAGTAGCTCCGATGATGATGATGCTGAGTGGGAGTTCATGCGGTCCCTGAGCTTTTGACCGTTGGATTGCTGAAGGAGAAACGGGTAGGTATGGGCTGCTGTTCGGTTGCCGTCCTATTTTCTTTTTCTGATGCAACTTATGTTTTTTTCCATGGCCATTGAATCATTTTAGCCATTTACTTTGCTTCTTGTTATCTTGGAAAATTCTGAGTGTTTGGTTTAGTTGATTCCAATGTTTGAAGAGGCTGCAGGACCTCTTCTTTATTATCCTTCTTCCGTTTATGAATCATGGGGATCCTGTCGGACCGCCTTTGTAATTTGTCGAATGTTATCTCTCCAGTAATGTTTTTATTTCGACTTTTGTCGCGTGCTATTTCTGGTGTGTTCCTGACAAAATTTCGAAGATGAGAATATCTCATTTGTTGCCAAAAAAAATATTCCTTCTTTCGTTTCACTGCGGGAATGAGATGATTGGGAGGTTGGTCTGGGATTTTAGTCGTGGCCTCTTTATTTTGTGCGTAATAAATTATTATGTCGTCTTTTGCTTATATTGAATGTTGATGCATGAAAATTTATAATTTTTTTGCCTACAAATTAATAATTTAATTTGTAAATAGGAAGCTGCTTCATCTTGCAGCACGCCCGCCAGTCAGGGAAGGTGCATGCATAACTCCTCCGTTCCAACTACTTCTGATTTATGAGTTTATTATTAGTAGAATTAATTTATTGTATGACTATGTATATGATGGATGCTGAGTTAGTATGTTATTGGGGGGTTTGAGTAGGCTTGTAAATTCGATGTAGCCCGTGATTTATGTCATAAGAGGCACTGAGCTTTCCACCAAATCGTTGGTTTTAGATTCCAGCATCGGGTGGTCCCATCAATTTATGCACCACTTATATAATTGTCGTACTGCACGGGCAAGTTTTCCATCACAATTGATGGGATATGGTGTAGAGATTAGTTTTTTTTTTTTTTAAAATTATACATCTTATTGATTTTCCTGGATAAAATGATAAATTTTTTGTAGGAAAATTTACATATATACAAGACAATTCTTATGTATTTATAAGTCCATTACCTATAGTTTAATGTTTACATCTATGACAATGGTGTTGTATTCCTATACATAAAAAGCCAAAATGTATTAACAAGGAAACTTAGGGTAGTGAAATTAATCCCTAAACTATGATTCCACTTTTGAAAACCTTAAAATGACGTATTAAAAAATTTGGGGTAAAATTGTAAAATTAAATTTTACTCTTTATTCCAAAATTATTCCAAATTTGGTTTAAAGACATTACCCTAAAGCTTTAATCCTAAGGGGATAACACCATGATTACCCTTCTAATCATGAAATCACCCTTAGTAGCCCTAGGCTTACCTAAATTAAGCCTAAACTTGGTTTAGGTGTAACTTGGCTAAGCCTAATCAAGGTGAGCCTATAATTGGACCTAATCCAATTTGGGCCAAGCCTGGACCACAATCATGCTTAACATGGCTCATACTCAACCTAGGCTTATCCTAGAGTTTGGCCCATACTAGACCCAAATTAACCCTAAACCCTAAGTCTAATCCAACTTAGACTTGCCCATCTTTTTAGGTCTAACATACATTAGACCTAAACCTAAACCCTAAGTCTAACCTAACAGGTCTTATTCCTCAAGCAAAGAATTGATCTTAAGTTTTCTTCCTTAGAAAGATTCAAGTGCAAATAATTTTTAATTAGGTCATATTTCTCAAGCTTCTCTCTTTTTCTTTTCTTTTTCTTTTCTTTTTCTTTTCTTTTTCTTTTACTTTTCTTTTTCCTTTTCTTTCAGGATTTTTTTAATTCTTACTTTTTTTTCATGTGAGGATTACTATATCTGAATATGTTTTTAATAATTTTGAATTTCATTATCATATCTCTATCCTTAACTTAAAATCTAGTATCAGTTTTTGAAAAAAAAATTTCATATAATCTAAATTCTTTAAAAAGTATTATTCTAAAAATCATTATTTTTTAAAAATTTTAATTTTTCCTATTATAAATAGTAAAATCAATTCCCTACTATTTCCTACTAAATATCTTAACTTTAGTTTCATCATTCTTACTAACTTATCTACTAAGTTCTTCTATATCATTCCTAAAAATCAAAAGTTTAGTATCCTAAATATAACACCACATACCAAAAGTTATTTTAAAAGTAATATCAAATGAAATATTGGCCACAGAGTACAAATAAAGTTAAGTTTTAAAATGATTTTTTATCCCTCCCAAGCTTGATTTTTAAATAGTACAAAACATTATAATACATATCAAGTATGAAGAGACATAAATTTAACACAATTATTTATCATAAAGTTCCAAACATAGAAACAGTTCAGGTACAAGTAGCAAAAACAAGTGTGTGTAGTAGTAAATCTCAAATTAATATATATAGCATGAAAATTACAAAGTAAAAGCTATTCTAACAAACAAACAACACTATATAAATTGGAGCAAATAAAAAGTTTTAAAATGTCTTTCATCCCCCTAACTTGATTTTTAACATGTATAGCATTCAATACAGAAAATATAAGAAGGAAGAAAAATTACAGCCCAGAAGTACAATCTATCACAAGTGTCTATCAAAACATTTGCAAATATACTTAGAACAGAACAATGTGTAGTAGAAAGCAAATCTAAACTAAATATGCTAGAATGAAATTGACTAAAGAAAAGTTTAATTAGCATATCAGGTATCAACATAGGAATTTTTATATTCAAGTGTTCCCCATGTCCTATATGTTGTTGTAACACAAACACAAGCACACTTGATAAAAGAGGCCAATTCTTCGTTTAACTCATCGCATCTCACTGTTTTACTTCCGATTTATAACAAAATTACTACACAGATAAATTGGGTACTTATAAAGGATTTTATAGAGTCTAAGTCCATGGACACGATTAACCTTAATATATTGGCTCGCGAGCACCAACCTCAGGCATCACCTTATCCATTTAAGTATGCACCTCTAACAGTTATAAGGATAGTGCAAGATCATCCATATGTTGCACATCAAGTAGGTTCATGACCCTACCGAATGAAAACATCAACAGAGAAAGGAAGTAACAAAACTGCGATGGAACTGTCACTATCCAAACTCAAAATTTCTTCAATAAAACTCAAGTCCAGTTAAGACCTGAGTTGTAGTGGACTCGTCAATCCAACTATTACAAGAGAATATAAACAGGTCTCTCTCTAATAAGAAGTTAAGGAATCACCTCCCTCATGATACACATAAAAATCAAACTAATTCATAAATAATCCAAACATCCACCAACATCAATCAAACTGATCGATTCACACTAAAATAAACACAATATAACATTAACAAACATGACTCAAGCATACTAAATCAAACCACACTTATAATTATGGGGTGCCTCCCATAAAACACTTAGTTTAAAATTGTCAGCCTAATAAAGGGTTCATCCCTGATAAAAAAATCTATTTAAGTAATCCTTGATCAATCGCTCAATTTTTTTCAGATTCTGTGATTCCTACTAAATTCTCGAAATACAGCTTTTTTTACAGTTTTTCCTTTTCAAATTAATTAAAATTATTATTCATCAAGTTTTTTTCTAGATCCACTATTCTTCTAATGATTTTTTCAATTTGCATATTAATAACATTCTCAAATCTCTAAATGTAAATCTAAGATCTTCTAAATTTTGGATCAAATTTTCTTTAAATTATTTAGATTCATGATCAAATTGTACTATGTTATTCTTCTGTCTCAAATGATCTTCTAATTCTTCCCCTTGGGGCTGAGGAAATGGTAGAGACAGTCTTTCTATATTTATCTTAGTTGATGAAATTGGTTTTTCTAATTCCTTAAGAATTTCTTCCATTAAAATTCCTTAAGAATTTCTTCCATTGGTCTTTCAATCTCTTTTTCCTCTTTTCTCAACTCAACGTTTATTTGAACCATATCCTTCAATTCTCTTCCACTTCTAAGTTGGATAGTTTTATCTTGCAAATTATTTTTCTCTTCCAAGTTTATCTCAAGGTCACTAAGTAAAATCTCTGGAAGATAACTGTTAATTGAATTAATAATGTGCCACAGTTGATTTTCTATATTCTTAATTGCGGCCCCTTGACTTTCTAACTGACTCTTCATTTGAATAATAACATTTTCTAACGATAACTCCTCATTTTCTGGGTTGATATTAAATAGAGGATGATTGTTCAATGAGTTAATAATCTACCACAGTTGGTTTTCCATATTCCTTATTGCGGTCCCTTTACTCTCCAGTTGAATCTCTATTTGAATAACAACCTCTTCTAATATCTCATTCTTCTTATTTTGTGGGTTGAAGTTAAATCTATGAAAAAAAGATAGTTCAACGTTAAAATTGCCTTGATTATTCCAATTACTTGTCTGATTAAATTGATTATCTTATCACAATTGGTTTTCTCCTCCAAAATTGTTATTCAACTTCAAGTTCGATTGATTTTGCCAACCTGGGTTGTAAAAATCGGAATAAGGATTTATGTCTCATGGTTAGTTGCAAAAGAGTTAGTTTCAATCAATTATTAAATTAAATTTTTCTTGATAACTGGGCGTCCTTGAGGATAATTTCATGTATATTGGTTGTAATAATCAGAATAAGGATGTGTGTGTGTGTATATATATATATAATTTAATTATTTCAAGCCAAATCAAGTCAGACAAGAATGAACAAATCTTTGTTCATGTTTGATCGTTTATAAATCGAGCTCATAAAAAATTTTCGTGTTTGACTTGCTTGCTTAACGAACAATTCAAACACGAACTTCTTAACGAGCTGAACACGATTTATTTGTGAACAACGAGTTCTTTTGATAGCGTTAGATATGAAATAATGATTTTAATAACATGGTAAAATACGAAGAGCATATTTTCTCATTAGATGGTGTGTGTAAATTGCTATCTTATATTTTTATGTGTTTTTTTTGCACTTTTTGTAGTATTTTTATGCTTTTCTAGGGTGTAAATGGTGTTATATGTTGTATATGGGGGATAATTAAGGATTTGGATCAATTGGGAAAGAAGATAAGCTAAACTTAAAGGCAAGCACCCCAACTCCCATGATTAGTGCCTTGGCTCTCGGTACACGTCTATGTACACTCAAAATCTATAAAACACGACATCCCAACACTAGGCCAAAAGCACCTCAATGACAGAGGACAACACCTCAGTGGCATCTAGATGAACACCTCAACACTTGGTGTGGCATATTTCAGTGAAAAATATAAAGAGCAGGATCACCAAGACACAATCATCATTGTGATATATGCTAGCACTGCGCCACTGTAGATGGCAATACTTTGGCACTCAAAAAGCTCTAATTTAATGATCAAGAGCATGAGATATGAAGCCCAAGCCAGGACTGTTGTGCCTAGGTTAGCGCCTAGAGTAAGCACCCAAGCGTCAACCATGCAACGTCGCCATGCTGACCACCAACGAAAGGAGGTTTTGGTGGTTTTTTGCTGGTTCAATCGGGGGAGAAGATAAAAGAGCAAAGTTTCTTCATATGAAGGTGAATCACGACATATTTAGAGACAAACATACAGAGAGATAGTGTAGGAGAGGGCATAGAGACTGAATGTTGTATATTGTTGTGAAGGGAGTGGATGTTGTATCACTGTATTGTGCAAGGAAGAAATCAAGGAGGCAATCCATTATTAGGATTGGTTTTTTTCTTTCTACTTTACACATTGATTATACTTGGTTTGAATGGATTTAATGCAAATTATTCTGTTATTTTCAACCATATATAGTACTTAAGTTTCATTCCCTTTTTTATTGATTTTCTTTATAATCTAAGGGATTTCATGTTAAATTATTGAAATTTGAAATCCTAAGTTGATGGTTTAACCTTTCACTCTTAATTTACATTCAAATTGGTCATTTGAATTATTAAAAATAGTTGTAATTTTGGAATATCAGAAAAATACTATAAGCATAACTTGGTTAGAATGCAAAAGTTTAGTGGAATCTAAGTATTGTCATTAGACTCTTGCACCTTTTTTAGGGAATGTGGATGTTTGGGAATTCTTGTAGGGTTAGATGAACCTAACTATAATTTGAGATTTCAATGTATATTATATATTAAAAAGAGAGTAAGAAATAATAAGCCCCGATTGACAACTACAGAAAGAAATTTACTTGAAGGAACTTAGATTTTATTAAACCAATTCAAATGAAATGCTTAAACCTTTTAGAAAACCTTTCTCACTTCTTTAGTTTTTCATTTTGAAATTATGATTTTAGATTTTAAACCTTAAGAACTTGTAATATTTTGGACTAAACTTTAGGATTAGTAGAGTAGTAATTAACTTATTTGCAAATTAACAAAGCTCCTTGTGGGATCGATAACTCGAACGCATAATTTATATACTATTTGATTTACATGTATACTTGAATATTAATATATGTGCTTCATCTCATAGCAAATTAAATTTATGATGTTGTTGCTGGGGAACGATGTTAATTTTCAAATTAGAAGAATATTAGTTGAGAATTCGAGGTTTATATTTGGAAATTATATTTCTTACTTTTTGTTGTTTATCTTATTTTTTATTTTCATATTTTTGTGTTGTTATTCAGGTAATCAAAAATAAAAAAAAAAAAAAAAAACATTGCGATCTGGTTTTTTTTTTTTTGTTTTTTTGTTTTTTTTTTGCTTTTATGTTTCATCTTATTCATGTTACTTGTATTCCTATTTATTGGAGTACTTTTTTTTATTTATTGTCACTAATTAGTCTTAGGTTATACATATGACTATATCTGCGGAGCTATTACCGTTTGACCCTAAATAGTAAAACTTGTAAGGAAATTAGAAAATTTGCAATACTTAAAAAGGATTTTAAGCGCAATAAAAAATAACTAGAGAGAAAATTACCATCCTAGCCAATTTAAGGACTCTGACAATCCTCCAGTAACTGACTCCGATATTGGCTCTTCTATAATAATGATCGAAGATTCTATATTAGTGACATGAACTACTCTCATCGCACAATATGACTCGAAGCTTGATGTGAAATCTTCTATATCCACTTACACCCTCATTCCTAGCCGAACGATAATGGATTCCATCAAGGAAAAGCCCAAATTGGTCCTCGTATCATCACCATTGAAACCGAAAAGATCACTTGCTTTGCAAATTGATCCATCATCATCACAATGGAAGAAACAAACAGACTATCTACCATTTCTTTTGAGATTTCCTTTTGGTTATCTATTATTTTCTATCAAAGAGGCCGTTGAAGAGGCGACACAATGATATTAAAGGCAGGCAATTTTAGTGCACTCGAGCCATGAGAAGACTGACGTGAAAAATAACTGTGTTATTTTTGGGGGATTTTTTTGTTTTAAGTGATTTGTTTGTAAATTTAAAATTTGAGGTTTGTGGTATATAAATAGGGATGTTTGGTGTGCTATGCACGTAAAAACTCTTATATTTCATTTAGGTAATAATAAATCTGATAATCTTGAAATTGGACTGCAAAGTGGTCTAATTATTTTTTAAATATTTAACAAATGATAGCTCATTAATGACTAAATTTCTATGATCGACTCTATTAATTTGATATTTTCTAATGATTATAAATGTCCCTTGAGATTTAAGATATTAGGATTTAGTAAATCCCATAAATCCCTGTCTTAGAACAAATTTACTTAATTCTGCAAATCCAAAAGAACCGTTTTATCATTTATGTAAGGATTTAAGAAGTGTTCATGACGGTTGGAGACAGTCAGAAGCTACAAAAGTAAAGTCCCAAGCTTGCGAAGTTGAATCCATCGACTCATGGGATTTAGGATTTACTAGATTTATAGTCAAAATCGGTGGAATTATGATATTTGGAGATTTATTTTGTTCAAAATGTATGTCCTAAGATTCCACTTAAATTCTCTATAAATTCTAAGTTGAACAGCCCTCAAGTAAGCTTTCTATTTATAAAACAGGAAATAAAGAGTCCACGGTTCTAAAAATTTACAAAAAATGTTAATCTTTTAATTGAAGAGAACAAGTTAAAGAAAACTACAAATTTGTAGGACCGGCTTATTCATTTTTGTAATTAAAGGAATCCATGCTCAAAATATAATGGGAAAGCTTTGGCGCTTCTGAAGCCTTCAAGGTAAGGTGGAGGAACCGAGAGAGAGAGAAAGAGAGAGAGAGAGAGAGAGAGAGAGAATGGCAACCGGAGCGATCACCCTGAACAGCGGCTACCAGATGCCGGTGATCGGGCTGGGTGTTTGGAGGATGGAGGGGCAATCTATCAGAGATCTGCTCCTTGCCGCCATCAAAATCGGCTATCGCCATTTCGACTGCGCAGGTCGGATTCCCACTTCCTCTCTGATATTGTACCCTTCTATCGATTCACTTGCAACCATCAATTACCGTAAACTGTGGTACTGTTCCGATTTAGCTAATTTACTGAAATATCTGATATATCCGCAGAAAATTTGATTCGTAGGTTTCTTGGATCAAGTTGGCACACAGTACGCAGTATTTTTTCTCTCATGCAACTAAAATGATAGGAGCGAACTTGCCGGTCTATTGTAGTTGAATAAGCAAAAAAGTTTAGGTTTTTTTATGATGGCTGCCGTTTATTGATTGAGGGCTCAGTCACTGTTTATGGAAAAGCTTTCCGGGCTAATTAGTTTGCTTACTATAGGTCTATTTCATTAAATTCCTTGTCTAGCTCATGCTTTGTGTGCTCTTTAAATAGCTAGGTTTTATTTTGATCAACTATTTATGTAGCCTATGTTGTATGTGCTCTTATAGTTGGACAAAGTTTGGATGGGAAACTTTAAGGGCTAGGTCTGATGTGTGTTAGAAAATTTATGGCAATATAGTAATATATTATCGTCTTAACATTGCATGATAATTCAACACACACTTAGGTATAAGAAAACTACTAGTAATGGCTCCACAAGATCTTATGTGGAAAATCTGTAATGGAAAAAAATCACGGGGTTGACCCAGTTGTAAAATCTACTATAAGTTGATGATTATAGAGACCCCTTGTCCCACAGACGAGAAAGTTCTATTAGATTTTCTAAATTACAATGTCGACTGACGACTTCTAGTCGGTGATGGTTGACGACGATTGGTGGTGATCGACGACGGTCAGCGATGGTCAACGAAAGTCGGTGGTGTTTGACGACGACAATATTGTTTGAAGGCGATCCACGATTGTCGATGGCGGTCGATAGTGGTCGACGATGATCGACGAAGGTTGGCAATGATAGACGGCGGTCAGTAAGTGTCGACAACGATCGACGAAGGTCGGCGGTGATCGACAACTGTGGTGGCTGGTGGTTGACGGTAACAGGGGTGATGCTGTACTACAGCTTATTCTCAAAGTTTTAAGTTTTTTTTTAAGCTTGAAGCCCCCCGCATGAGAGGGGTGAGTAGCTATTTATAGTGTTCTGGGTGCAATTAATGCAGTAATATGAACCACTTTGATTGGATAGTCCGGAAAGCTTTCTTTGATTAGACAGCGTTTAATGGAGATTTGATTACCTTAATGATGTCGAAATTCAACAATCGTGAGTTTCTTGGATTTGTCTTGTTGAGACGCTCAATTTGACTGTAGGATTGCTAAATTCGACATTCGTTTAATCTTCTAAATTTATCCGAAAAACTTTTAAGGATAGTTTAATGACTTGATTTGAGCTTGATTTGACTCAGATTAAACTAATTTTGGTAATATTGAGTTATTTTTATCGAACCAGTTAGTTTGACTGTAAGTTTGCTGAAATTGGAGTTCTGAATGAGTTTTTATCGATGTTTGAATATTTCTTGCTCAAAAAGCTGCCTCGAGATCTATGTCTTGTCTCGTGATTTGTGCCAAATGATGGAGATTTGCTGGAGATGTATTAGTTGTCCCCCTTATGTCGGGCGAGACCAAATTCGTCGTTCGAAAATATCCAGATCTAGAGCTTTTTCATTTTTGTCGGGCATACGTATCAATGTGTGTGTGTGTGTGTATGTGTGTGTATGTTTGTATATATATTAAAGCAATCAAGCTTAGCTCAGTTGGAGAGGGTTTGCTTCAAATCATGATAGACGCAGGTTTGAATCCCACACTAGGCAAAAAATTAATACTTCTTTATCGAGCCGAATTTAGGGCCTGTAGGCCCTTGTCGCTTCGCGTATTGAGCCACTGTGCGGGTAGCCCACTGCTTTCCGCCTATTCTGGCGGGATTCAAAGGCAGGCCGACAGAAATAAATGTTGGCTGGAAGTCGGTCCGACAGGAAGTTGAACCGGCTGAACTAAAAGCTAAAAACAGGCTGAAATAAAAGCTACAACGGCTAAAATAATCTGCTGTGATGAAATAAATGCAAAAATAAAAGCTAACCAGCTGAAATGACTGGGCTGAAATAAAAGCTAAACCGACTGAAATAATCAATTGCTGAAATAAAAGCTAAAGAAGCGGGCTGAAAGCTGGTAAGGGGTGGGTGGAATTAAGAATTTTTTTTTTTAATGAGCTGTTGCTTTTTTAATAAACTGTTGTTCTTTTTTTAATGAGAGAATTTGAAAATTTAAATGGTGAGAAGATGAAAAGTTTTTCATTTTTTTATTTAAAATGAGGATGTTGGAAGACAAATAAGCTAGAAGATGGAAGACCAAACACCAAAGAAATTAATGTAGATTTCAGTTTTTTTTTAATTCAACTGCTTTTAATGTTATGGCTCATCTCAAACCTTTAAATAGATGTAATGAATAAGGGGAAGAATCACAAGATGAATGTCGTCCCGTTCTGGGGACAAACAAGATCTTCTTTCACATTGCTGCGAAGAGGAAACTCGTTCACGTCTTGCATAGCAGACGAGCAATGAGATCTTCTTTCGTGTTGAGGCGAAGAGGAAAGTTATCCTCGTCCTATGTAGCAGACGAGCAACAAGATCTTTTGTATTGCGGCGAAGAGAAAAGTAGTTTCGTTCTATGTATCAGACGAGCAACGGGATCTTTTTTTTTTAATTGCGGCGAAGTGGAAAGTTGTCTTCGTCTTGCATAGCAAGCGAGCAACGTGATTTTTTTTCACGTTCCGACCAAGGGGAAAGTCGTTTCCATCCTGCATAGCGGCAAGCAATGAGATCATCTCTTAATGCAGTGAAGATAAAAGTTGTCCCTGTCCTGCGTAGCAGACGAACAACGAGATCTTTCCCGTTGTGGAAATAACGACAACTAGAGAACCTCGTTCTGCTGAGAACCAAATGAAGGGTCAAAACTTTGAGGATGCGACATCAATTCTGACGGAGTGCGAGTTAATTTTAGTTGGAAAGTATTACTTCCCGAACGTCATGGTGGTGAAATTGCCGACTTCAACCAATTTAGCGTATTCTCCTCCTAGGTATATTGTTGTTCATGAGGCAGTTTTGATAGTTGGCCTACGATTTTCGTCAACCCGTGAGTTTATCGAAATCATGAAATGTTCAGAGTTTGTGTTGCTCAGGTGTCTTGTCGGATGGTGACAGTCATTATCAGGTTGATTGTTTTCTTCAGGAGTCGCGGGTTGACGGTAACACCGACAATTTTAGCGCTGCTGTGTGAGTTCTTTAGTGACACGCATGATTGTTTGATGTTTAAGCACAATATTTTGGATTTTCGCCCAAGGGAACTAATAAGCAATGGTCTGTGAGATTCTTCTTTACAAAGAATGATTTAGGGCTCCGTGAGAGGCGAGGAAGGTTCCAACAGTTGTTTGTCTCTCTTTAGACTACTGAGGAGGGAATACTGTTGATGCTAGAATTTCGTGACTTCAAGGAGATGCTCGAGATGCAATATATTTATAAATTTGTGGGCAAATAATCATTGTTCAAGGCTAAACTTTCATTCCATCCTGAACGATCCATGACTGTGTTATTAAAGAAATCCAAGAAGCGATCTTCCAAGCTACCCCCCTAGTATACTCAAAGCGGCTTCTAACGAACAATAATCGTGAAATATTCCCTCAGAAACAACAGAAGAGGGTTAAAAAATTGCGAATGTCCCTGCTCAATTCTTCAACCATTCATACTCCTGAGAACATGTTCTCATGAATGTACTGGGCTCCAGGAGTCAGAGATCTTTGTAAGTTTCTTTTATCTTCTACTACTATATAATCATTTCATTTGTCTGACTTAGATTTCTTCTCTTCTAGATTGATAAAATAGTGGAAATCCAAATGGGGCTAGGACTAGCTCGAAGAAATTGGAACTCTGAATTTGTTAAGATCAAATATCTTCAAGGTGAATATAAGCATATGAATCCGAGGTTGAAGGAATCACATCTCTAGAATTACAGTTGACAGAATGCATGACAGAACTCTCAACAATAGCGACTTCCTTGTCGTTGCAGTTCAAGATCTGGAGAGAACTTAATAGGCGCTGGTGGAGGCACAAACCGACCTTAGTGAAAGCACTAGAAGCGTGAAAGCTCTTAAATCGACGGTGTCAGCCTAGGAGGAAGAGAACCGACTTTTGAGGTCTGTGAAGCATGTTGAAGTTGCAGAGGTTAAGCAAGAAACGGTCGAGGACTTCAAGAACTCGCTTGAGTAATGTTATCATTCGATACCATGCTTAAGAGACTCGTGATTTAGTACTTGATGTTGTTGCAAATGAGCAACAAATGTGGTTTATCGAGAAATGATTCATCTGGGGTTTCCTTAAGAGGAGTCGAGGGGCACAACGTCGAAACGGGATTGTCGTGGTGGGGCTCACTCCTAACCAAGCTTCAAAGGATCGTCCCTCATATTCTGACGGCGAGGACATCGAAAGTAAATTAAAGGTATTATTCAACGACGACGAGGGGGTGGAGGAGAACGTTGATCTTGATTAGTGCTCTACTATGCCTTATATGCTTGCAACATATTTGCTTTTGTCATGTTGTTCAAACCACACAGATGTAGTTATTCTTTTCAGATTTTGTCAAAATGACATTGTATGAACGATGCATGTTAATCATCTTGTTTAGCTATTTGATTTTTTTTGCTATTTGTCCCCGGAGTGTCTTTTTATGATAATTTTTAAACATGTTTTCTTTTCATGCCACAGTGGATAACAAATATCATTTAAAAGTTATAGTATATGAGGAGGTTATCGTGAGGATAAATCGCCAGCGACGTTTGACTTGCTTTGGGTTATGCATCAGATTATTACTTAATGATGTTAACCTGTATGAGATAAGCCAATTGAAGTCTATCGAGAACTTTTTAACCAATCTGAGATTGTTTGTTGGAGCATTGCTCGCTTACGAACCTATGTCGAAAGGATCAGGTGTAGTCTACCGAGGACTGTTAATCTATCCAGGGTTGTTTATCGAAGCAATAACTTGACGGTGTTAAC